GTATAAGTTCATGAATCATAACGTAAAAAAAATCGTATTCGAATGCTTGAATAGGCCCATTCTCTTCAAACCAAAGTGGAAATTTTGTATTGAATTCAGCATTAATGTCAAATTCATCAAATGTTGGATTTTTCGGAAATTGAAATTGCTTAACTAATGCTTGCGGATATAATCTTTCCATCCCGTCGTCATCTTCCAACGCATAAATCATTGTAGGTCCTGCTTGGCCTAATCTATTACTTAATTCTGGACCACAATTTTCAGGAGTTAACCCGTCACAAAAATTACGTAAAGTCGCATTTACAACTATTTGAGCGTTAAGTTTTAGAACGGTAGAAATTGTTTTTGAAGCTCTATTAAAAGCTAAATTTATATTATTACAGAGTGTTTTATTATCCGAACGACAATCTAATTTCACTTTAAACATTTCTTCGGGTGCTGCTCCAGTTTCCTGATTTAATTTGTTAGTTGCATCTTGTTTTATTGGATTTGACCAATCACAGTCAACAATTTGAGCCGAGTTATAGTTAAAATTATTAACTTTATAACATTGCGATGACGAAACATTAGGAACGAAACTATACAGAAACAAGATAATGAATATTAATGATTTCATCATGGTAAAAGAATTTTTTTTTTTAGTAAAAATTTATTTCGAAAAGCAATAAATAACTCCCGTTTTTATATAAATTTGTTATCTAGAACTCTCATTTACAATGGAAACAATACTTATGCGTTTAATGCCCGAAGCTCATTGATATCGGAATTAATGGTCGGTTTTCGAATTTTTGTACTAAAACTCAAAACTTTTATAGCTCCAATTTATCCCTTTCAACGACTTTCAATGACAAGCACCATATAAGGAATTGGCTGTTTTTTTTACATATATGAACAAATTCGATTGAAATTGCTTTATAAGTTTTATAAATTTATAAGTCGAATTTCTGCAAACGGGTCCGTACAAGAGATTATCTTTTTTTTTTTTTGAATTGTTTAGAAAAAAAAGAACGCCATTAATATTTTGGGCGTTTAAGTTAAGTGGCGCAGAATGAGTTAATTAACCAAAAGATAATTAACCTAAAGATTATTTTTAGTCGACCAATCAAAACAAAAGAAAATTTTTTAATATATAAAATGGTTAAAATGGTTAAGGTTAAATTAACACCAAACCAAATCTTAATTAATCCATCCCTAGTGATATTCCCTATTTGATTGGATCGATCATATTAAAATCAATTTTTTTTTTAAAAAAAAAAAAAATTCCTCCTCTTCGTTAAACACTTCGAAAATGGTATGTGACGATTTGAATTCAATATAAGGAAATTATTTATCAAAACGGATGTTTGATAAATGAAAAAAGGATAAATAGATCTAAAAAAAAAAAAATTGTGAATTTTAAATTATTCGTCTAGATAGAATTTTTAATAATTGAAAAATCATTGATGATTGCTTCAAATCATTTTGATAGATCCTAACGATAATTTGTCTAATTGACTTTAATAGGCCAAGAAGGAAGCAGCTAAAAGCTCGAGTGGAGGTAAAAACAAAAAAAAGGTACAACCAAAAATTTTCACGAGTTTCATATCAAGATTTTTTGACAATATAAATGTATAATATATATATATATATATATTTTCCTTCTTTATTAGAAATGGTCAAAAGGAAAAGTCAAAGACAAAGCAAATAATGCTGTAATTCTTGATAAAGCAACCTATGATAAATTATTCAAAGAAGTTCCAACTTATAAATTGATTACTCCTTCTGTATTGGTTGATCGACTTCGTGTTAATGGTTCTTTAGCCAGAGTTGCTATACGTGAATTAGAAGAAAAAGGTTTAATTCGCAAGATATCCACTCATGGTTCACAACTCATTTACAGTATGTTGTTAAATTATTTTCTTTTCAAGTTTATAAATATATATATATTTTTTTTTTCTTAACTTTTTCTTTTTTTTAAAAAAAAAAAAACTTTAAATTATAGCTCGTGCTACAGCTGCTATTATTGATAAGCCTGAGGATAAATAATTTTTTAAATAATAAAAAAAAAATTTTTTTCTTTTATTCAAAAAAGATATAAATGTAGAAATAAAAAGGAAGGGAAAACATTTGCTTATTAAGATATTTAAATCAATAAAAGATTCATTTTCATTAAAGCAAAAGTAACTTTCATTTACTCAATAGCTCCATGTTTAAATAAACCAAACTTTTGAAAGAATTTATTTTTATTTAATATTAGTTGATAAAATATTTTACATCATGAAATATAAATCAAATGTTTTGGTTCTCTTGACCACGTCTTCTAATATTTCTCCTTACTTTTGGAGCCGCATATCCAATACCTTCTCCTGCTTCAACTCTCAGGTATGGAACTCTTTTCCATGGAATACCACAAACACCCAGTGAGCTATTTGTAATATGATCCAGCATAAACCATACTGGAAGTTCCAAAGTTCCTTTAACTATGGCATTGGTTTTAAAAAGTACTGACGAAGGGAGCGGCGAAAGAACGTGAAATGAATGAGATGCTGGATCGATGGATCTTATGATGGCCAATCCCAAACAATTATGTTTAGTTGGTGAAGGTGGAGGAAAATCAGGACAAGGAAAATAATTCGGAGGTTGCTTAAAAACAATTTATTAATTAGTTGATTATTAATTATTTTAATTAATATTAATGTAATAATAAAATAATTAACATACTGTTCGTGATCGCGGATCTTTTAATTCTTTTACGGATATTACGTCTTTGTCAACTTGTTCACTTGTATAAGGATTATCAATATCACCAATTAATCCTACAATCGAACCATTTAACGCGTACAAAAGTTGACTTAAAGGCACCTCTCCGGATAACATAAAAACCCCCCCAGTTAACCCTTTTCTCCAATCTAAACACCATGGTACCCGACGGATCAACGGTAGGTTAAAACCCCACCATTTTGTATCTACTTGATTTACTGCCATGGCATTTGTTGAATAAAAGTATGACAAAAAGGTTAATAGTCGGTGATCGGATGCCCGATTTGAACGTTCGGATGAATCTATTGCTTCAACAAAAGCAACTTTGGGCGGTGCTTGGTCAGTAGGAGAGATAATATACTCTGGGAGTGATGGAAGGTTTTGATTGGTGAATGTTGCAGAATAAAACTGAAAAATATGTGTTGGTTTAGCAAAACCTATAATATGAAGATATAAATCATAACCCATTCCTATGCGTTTAATAGTCAGCAGTATTAGCATTAAAGTAAATAATAATTATTGATATTATTAAATAGATACTATAAATGTTTGTTATGAATTTATGCACCTTTGCTCCATCCGTGAGTATTAATAATTAGAGGAACGTGTACTTGTCCATCATCGTACATTCCGTACTCTGAACCACAAGCAATGTCACGACGATAAGCTGTAACTAATTCGCGCAAACAATCCAAGTAATAGTCAGGATCATCGCGTGGAGAATTATGTCCAATGAAATATGATCTATAGGGTTGTTGTATATGTGTAAATGGAGGACCTATGGCATATGTATGTTAATTTCAGATGTAATTGTAAATAAGAAAGTTCATTACTGGGTTGATAATTACCAAAGATAGGGGAATTCAATATATTAAGCGATACTAACCCACAAGGGGTGAATTCAGATTGTCCAACATCACTTTCAATATAAGCAACTTTGGGGCAACTTAAGAAATAAAAGATGTTAGAACATTAAGTTGCTATTTTATAACATACAGTTAACGAACATACACGTTGAGCAAGTTGTTAGCCAAGTATCTGGAAAATGTTGATTTCCCAACATTTTTATGCCCACTAATGATGGCAATGGGAGGTACGCCTGATATAAAAAAAAAAAAAAATAGTAAATGTGAATGTTATTTTGTAAATTCAAAATATATAAAATTCTTAAATATTACTAAAGTTTAAAGTATCATCCATGAGCTGATTTGCTGAATTTTTCCAGGAAGGGGAAATTTTTATAGCTGTTGTTCCGGAAACTTCATCAAAAATCTAATGAATGTAAATTTGGATAAATACCTGAAACATTTGTATTGAAACAAGAAGAAAATTGGATTAAAAATTTCTCTTACCGGATAAAATCCTTTAATATTAAACACATCACGTTTTGATTGCTCAATCTCAGTATCACGATCAATTTTCTTGTTATTCGCGAGATTGTCGGTAAATATATTATTGAAAAATGAAGATGTGACATGCTCTATATCTTGAATGCCACACCATGAAAAGTCTCGTAAAACAAGAATAGTATCATATCTTTCCTCAGCTAAGTTCACATTTGATAAAAGCTTGTTAATCATCGACATTGTCGTTGAACAAGCTATAATTCCAGAATGTGAAAGTTTGCGCGTAGTCATCTCCTGTTTTTTTATTGATTCTATTTCTAACAAGGAATGTGTTTTTGGAGAAAACACTGGATGGAACGTAATATTAGAGTTCAAATCAATTGATAAACGATTTTCTGTTGTAATTTCGGAGGCAATAACACTGTGCAATCTATGACCCATAATAATCGCGTCTCCAAAAATAGATGCAACAAGAACACTTCCTTGAAACATTATCGACTACAAATTAATTAATTTGTTAGATCGGATTAAACAGAAGAACGGAAAAGTTAATAATTTATTTTATTTCATAATACCTCGCCACTTTTCATGGCAACTAAACATATATCTTTTTTTTTCTCATAACTAACAACGTTTGAAGTTGTAGGTATAAAGTGAGAACCCATGAAAAAAAAAAAAGATTAAAAAGATAGCACACCCAACAACTGGACTGTAATAAGTTGCAGTTTTTGTTTCTTCCTATGACCCATCGTTCAAATAATCATTCTTTAAACATTCGAATTCCTTATAAATGGCACGAGAGGTGACGTAATGATCACAAAATTAAAAAGGAAAAAAGGATTTTCATTTTTGAGAAAAAGAAAAAAAAATATATAGTATTTGTTTAATTCTCTCACTCATATACTTCAAATCAAAATGCCTCCAAAAAAAAACCAGCAATCTGAAAAGTCAAAGCAAAAGGATAAGCAAAAGATCGTTGAGGACAAGACTTTTGGCTTGAAAAACAAGAAAAAATCTGTAAAAGTTCAACAGCAGATCAAACAAATTCAAAGCCAAGTGATGGCAGCTGGCAATAGGAAGGTTTTGGTAAGCTATCCATATTTTTTTTTTTTTTTCGCCTATATATCGATATATCGATCTATACCTTTGACTCAATTGTCTCCCGAAAAATAGAAAGAGAAAGAAACCGAAAAACAAGCTCTTGCCAATAAAAAACTTGCCGAACAAAAAAAGAAAGATGAACTTGCTGAGCTATTCAAACCAGTTCAAGTACAAAAGGTACCATTTGGTGTGGATCCTAAAACGATATTATGTCAATTCTTTAAAGTTGGACAGTGTCAAAAGGGAGATAAGTGCAAATTCTCTCATGATTTGAATGTTGAAAGGAAGAGTGCGAAAATCGATTTATATACTGATTCGAGAAGTGAAGAAGAAAAGAAAGTAGGTAAGGAACATATTATTCAATTTCTCTTATTATTGCCACATTGAGATTATTTATAATTTATGAATTGATTTATGTAGATACCATGGATAAATGGGATCAAGAGAAACTTGAGCAAGTCGTTAAATCAAAACAAGGCAATCCAAAGACTACAACCGATATTGTATGTAAATACTTTTTAGAGGCGATTGAAAATCAAAAGTACGGATGGTTTTGGGAGTGTCCGAATGAAGGTGAGATATCCTTAATTTGTTTTTTTTTTTTTTTTCCTAAAAAAAATATATATATATATATTAAGGACTTATAATTGACTTAATAAACAAATTATCTAGGTAAGAATTGCAAGTATAGGCATGCACTTCCACCTGGATTTGTACTGAAAACCAAATCTCAAAAGAAAGCTGAAGAGGAAGAAGTCGAACAAATCACAATCGAAGAATTTTTAGAAACCGAGGTAAATGTTTATTTTTTTTTTTTGATTTAAATATCTTTATTCTTCACAATTTATTGATAAGTTAAAATGAATGTTTTTTTTACAAGCGACATAATTTGGGTCCTAACCTTACACATGTTACACTTGAAACGTTTACTGAATGGAAGAAGAGTCGTAAGGCGAAATTGGACGCTGAAGAAGAACTTAAAAGATCAGCCAAAGAAGCAGCTTTTAAAGCTGGTAAAGCTCAGGGCATGTCTGGTCGTGATCTTTTCACGTTCAATCCCGATCTCGTTAACCAATTGGACGATTATGATGAAGATGATGATGTCTTCGATCTATCTGGTTATAAGCAAAGTAACGATGGGCAAGAGGAACAAAATGGTGATCGAGTTGATCATAAACAGTCAGATGCAGAAGAAGAAGAAAATACTTCCGAAAATCCTTACGGAGAAGGAAGCTGTAGTGGTGTTAGCAATGGTAAAACAGAAATTACGAACAATAATTCAACAATTTTGATCACTGAAGAAGGTTTAGAAGTGAAAGAGGATTTGTTTGCAGAAGAAGACCTGGATGATTTTGATGAAGAAGAAGAATGAATTTACATACGCTATATGTTTAAACTTTTCAACAATTCATTGCATCCCTCAGATTAGATTAAGATAAAAAAGAATCAAAGATATATTATTTTTTATTTTATTTTATTTTATTTTTATTATATATATTTTTTTTCATTGAACATTCAAAATTAAACATTAAAAAAAAAAAAAATTTGTCTAATTAAAGGATTGAATTTGTATTTTAATATCAGAATTTAATATAATAAAATTACCTTTTGAATAATGGCGCAGTTAAATTCATGTGATTCATTTCCATGCATTTTATTACAGGTTACATCATATTTTCAACCGGCAGACCGCAGCGATCGGAATTTTAATTGTTGAATACCAAAGTTTCTCTTACAAATTCCATATCTAGTTGTTGCTTTTGTTGTCCAGAAATTCGGAACATATCTGTGTAAACTCCTTTATTAACACCTAAATAATCCCTAATATCAAATACCTATTTTTTTAAATCACCACTTTTTTTACCACACTTTATTACCACACATTTTGTCTGCTAATTTATTTCTTAGTATGAGTCGTCCCCGCGCACCAAAAGGAAAGATAAAGCCACCGAAGAAACCGGTAAGTTTTTACCTATAATCGGGTCCGGTTTGAAAGGCCTACTTGCAGCAAAACCGTTACTTATATAAGCGCATAGATTTGTACTCTTTTGCTGTTTCATTTCTTTGCTCTTTATTGTTTCAATGTGAAAGTTTTGTTGAGTATAGATTTAAAGAGTCAGTTGTGAGTTTGACCTTCTACCTCCCAACTAAAAAAAAAACCAACCAATAGTATTTGCGGATATTTTATATAAATAAATTTCTGCAGACTTCCTGTCAGACTTTCACGGTCTTGACTTGGAAGAAAAATATGTGAACTTCTCTTTTTAATTTTTTTCTTTTTGAATAAAAGCTTATAATATAAACTTATTTATTTAAATATGTCTTCACGTCGTTCTCAGAATTCCGCTGACCTCCAATTTAATGACAATTGGGAGCGTTTGGCTCAGGCTATTCGTGAAATTCATAAAAAAAATGCGTCGATCCTCAGTTTCGAAGAACTTTATCGTAACGCATACAACATGGTCCTTCATAAAAATGGAGACAAATTATATAACGGTGTAAGAGGAGTAATTACACAACACTTGGAAGAAGTTGCTCAAGCACAGGTAGTACCGGCTTTCCCACTTTCAGGTGCAAGTAGTTCTCAAACTAACCCTAATGGAGCTGGTGGTGCCAACTTCTTGAAAGTTTTAAAGAATGTTTGGGAAGACCATACTACTTGTATGCTTATGATTAGAGATATTTTAATGTATATGGTGAGTCAACAATGAAATTATTTGAGAATTCCTTTACGTAAAAATATTTGTTCGAGGAAATTTCTTTCCAATATAGGTCACATCTAATAAATTACACTATAACTAAAAGGATCGGGTTTACGCAAAAACAGCAAACGTCCCCCTTGTCTATGATCTCGGTTTGGAACTTTTTAGAGACACAATAGTCCGTTCACAGAAACACCCAATTCAGAATCACCTTCTTGATGTGCTCTTACAACAAATTAAACTTGAACGCGAAAATGAAATTATAGATCGTTCTAGCGTGAAAGCATCAATGGACATGTTACTGGAGTTGACTGACGCGTCGACGAAAGATACAGTATATGCTACAGATTTCGAAGGTCGCTTTTTAGAAACAAGTTCTGAATATTATAGAGTTGAAGGACAAATGCTTGTAGGAGAATGTGATTCCCCAGAATACATGAAAAAGGTTGGCAAATATATATTTATCTTATTATTCGGACACCATAACAATTTATATATTAATAGCAGCAACATTACAACTTTTTAGGTAGAAAAACGGCTGATCGAAGAAGAGCAACGTGTACGGCACTATCTTTCACCATCTACAGAACCAAAAATCCGTAGTATTGTAGAAGAGGAACTAATCTCAAAACATCTTAAGACAGTAATCGAAGTACCTACTAAGAATATTTCAAAATTATTATTTTTTTATTAAAAAAAAAAAATTGAAATATTAACAAATTTAAAATGATATGGCAAATGCTTTTTTTTAGATGGAAAATTCCGGTTTAATTCCTATGTTAAGAAATGAGAAGATGGATGGTAGGTTTCTTATTCTTTTTCTTTTATTAGAAGTTGTTTATTTCCCTTTGGATTAATGTTTATTTAATTTCAGATCTTGGAAGAATGTATAAATTATTTGGACGAGTTTTAAAAGGTCATGAGGAAATGAAATCCGCTATTAGTGAACATATACGTGAACTTGGCAAAGCAATAAATGAAACAGTGTCAAGTAATATATCTTCCGAAAGTAGTGGTGGGTCTGGAGATAAACAAACAGGAGCTTCTGTCGCTATAAAATGGGTGCAGGAAGTTCTAGACCTTAAAGATAAGTTTGATAAGGTTCAAAATTTAGCTTTATCTAATGATAAGGCATTCCAAACATCATTTAACGAGGTAGGATAGTTAAAAGTTATGTGCTATATCATTGTTCAGAGTTATTGTGACCTTTAATTTTAATTTGATTTTTTTTAATAAGGCATTTGAGCATTTCATCAACAAAAACTCCAAATCACCCGAGTTTATATCATTGTTTATTGATGATAATCTTAAAAAAGGGCTAAAAGGGGTGGGTTTTAATTCCGCTGAATTTTACTACTTAAGGCATTCGATTAAATTTTTATAAATTTAGAAAACGGAAGAAGAAGTTGATAGTGTATTGGATAAAACCATCACGTTATTCCGTTTTATTGGAGAAAAGGATGTGTTCGAGCGATATTACAAACAACATTTGGCCAAGCGATTGTTGCTTGGTCGTAGTGTTAGTGATGATGCAGAAAGGGGTATGATAGGCAAACTTAAGGTATGTTAGATCGACGTATCAGAATTTCAATACTTTTAACGTTAATTCTTATTCCAAGTTTTTGTCTTTATACGTTCTAGGTGGAGTGCGGTTATCAATTTACCACTAAACTAGAGGGTATGTTCAATGATATGAGAATATCAGCTGATACAATGGCAGATTTTAAAGACTTCTTGGATAAGTCTGTCTTAGAGGTATGCTTTTAGATAAATATATATGTAATTTGATTATTAATTCGCTTAAGTTCATTTTTTAATATGTTTTATGAACCATAGAAACCCAAAATGGATTTAGGCGTCACCGTCCTTACTTCAACGTTTTGGCCAATGAACCTGTCTGCCAGTCCAAGGTGCAATTTCCCAGCAGAAATAACGAAGGCTTGTGAAACTTTCCAAAGGTTTTATTTAGGTCGACATAGTGGCCGTAGATTAACGTGGCAATCGAATATGGTAAAAATAATATTATTAGTAAAATACTGAAAATGATAGCATTACTAACTTCATGACTTATTAAATGTTTAGGGTACAGCTGATATTCGAGGTTCATTCAAATCACGCAAGCACGATTTAAACGTATCAACGTATCAAATGGTTATCTTACTTATGTTCAATGACTTACCCGAAGGAGAGTCTCTATCATATGAGGTATGAACAAATATAATACTTTTTAGATGTATATCTTTTAATAATTCTATTTGCTTGTTTTTGTTTAGCAAATTAAAGGTGAAAGCGATATTCCGGAGTCAGACCTCAAACGTAATCTTCAGTCATTAGCTTGTGCGAGATATAAAATCCTTGTAAAAGAACCCAAAGGAAAAGATATCAATCACGGGGACGTATTTTATTTCAATTATGAATTTACAGCTCCATACCAGCGTATTAAAATTCCAACAGTAGCTAGTAAAGTAGAAACTGAAGGCGAAAGAAAAGAAACACGAGAGAAAGTAGAGGAGGCTAGAAAACATCAAACGGAGGCTGCTATTGTAAGAATTATGAAGGATAGGAAGACAATGGAACATAATAATTTAATTGCAGAGGTTACAAGACAACTACAACCAAGGTTTGTACCAATTCCAGCATTGATAAAGAAGAGAATTGAAGCATTAATTGAACGAGAGTACTTGGAAAGAGCACCAGATAGGTAATATTCGGATTTCTATTAACTTTAAATAAATATATATATGTCGTTTTTTTTTCCTGATGATTGACTTATTTTTTTCTTTTTTTTAAAAAAAATATTAAAGTAGGCGGGTATATAATTATCTAGCATAAAATTTTTTAGATATCTCATAAGGACATTTTAATTAGAATCTTTCTATTATCAAATCTGACGTTGTAATACAAGTTGATGTTTTCTTTATTTCTTTATTTTTTTCATTGACAGACCTTTATCACTATTCTGCTTTTTATCGATTTTTTCTTTAGTTAAGCTTTAGTTTTATGTATAGCTTTTTATTCTTTTTTATTCACCAATATTACTTTAACAAAAAATACATATTTTTGGTAATTTGTAAAAAAAAAAAAAATAATTTTTTATTGTCAGTACTTTGAGAATATATCTGCCTTGTGTGATACAATTATTTATACAAGGAATAACAATGGATCTTTTATAAAATCACCACCTATATAAAAGAAAAAAAAAAAAAAGGATTGTTTCTTATTAAAAAAAAACAAAGAAATATTAAGCAAAAAAAAAAAAAAAATGAGCGTTGTAGAAATTTAGTTACATTATCCTGTGTACTTTAATAATTCTTCTTTACCAGCTTTAGAAGCTAAAAAATCGTGTCTCTTTTTTCTATCATAATAAATAAGATAACCAAGGGTAATAGGAACTCCAACGTAAGGAGCTTGAGAGATAGTGCGACGAAAAACGTTAAAAACACCATGTTTGATGGCACCAGCGAATGCTCGTTGTTGATATGGAGAAATGGTATAAGTAACTATTCCCTTTTGTATGGGACCTCCCAAATGTCCCCACCAACGATGCATAATTATTAAATTTGTATGTAATGGGTTGGAATGAAATTATTTTCTATTTTTTTAAACCAATATATTAAATTAATTTTTATTCTTTAATAAAAGAAACTTTTATGCTACAAAATACTTGCTTAAATGAAAATGTAGCTTTTATATAAAAAAAAATTCAAGAAACTTCTAAATACGGATGATTTTTTTTTTATAATTTACTTTGATTGGCTATAACTAACCTATTGATCACGTTCGATCAAAAAAAAATATATTCCTTTATTATTGGTATAATAAGATATGGACCATTATTTGGTAATTTACCAACAAATATCCGAATAAACGCGTTTTTGTTCTCAAGAAGTTTTATTTTTTTTCGCAACTTATCATTAATTGATATGTTATCTATAGATTACTTTGTACAATAATGCAAGTATTTGTAATAAACACTTAACTGTTAAGAAATTTCTCTTTAAAGCCATTTGAATTGTTTAATGATTCTTTCCCTTGATTATATAAACGAGCTACGCTAAAACGTTCAAATTATGAATGCTTTTATTCTTTGAAAGGGCTATTCCTAATATTTGTTGCAAATACATTTGGAATTAAGGTAACATTAACCTTGACGTTCTTTATATATTTTCTTCTTTATTACTAACTTTTGTATTATACATAAAATCACATAAATTTTGAGAATGGTCATTGAGTTTCAATTCAACTGGATACAAATAAATAAATATATATCAAGAGGAAGTATTATATATATGTTTTATCTAAATAACTCTACTTTTACTTATACTTTATCTTGTCTTGATTCTTGTTTTACCGGTCTTGCGCCAAAAATAGTACTTCCAATTCGAACATTTGTAGCTCCTAATTTTAAAGCTTCTTCAAAATCATCAGACATTCCCATACTTAATTCCAATTCAATTCCTCTTTCCTTCCTAAATTCTTCTTTTAAATTTTTCAACAACTGCATAAAGAAAAAAAATAATTAATTAACAAATTTTTTTTTTTTAAAAAAAAAAAAAGAGCAAATTATAAGGAATACTCGCTATAAAATCCGGATTTGGTTGACCTTCATTAAAATGATTCCTGTTAGGAGCTCCAATAGTCATTAACCCTCTTAATTCTAATTTATTACAATTATCTTGAATATAATTTAATAATCCTAAACATTCATTTGGTTGAATTCCACTTTTCGCTAAAAAGGGAGGGAAAAAAGGAAAGCAGCGCGTTATCTATCAAATCATTTACAAGGTTTCTGCCTGTATATCAAACACGTACATTCTTCACCGCTTGTATTCACTTGAAGAAATATTTTTAATTTATCATCTCTCGATACGCATGCTTTATTCATTAATTCTGCTTTTTTTTTACTATCAATTGTCTCTACTGCCCATAAATTTGGTATTTCTTTACAAATGAAAAAAGGTTAGGAATTACATCAACGTTAATAAATAAATCAATGCTATTAGTAGATTGATTGATTACCTGCTAACATTTTACATTTATTACTTTGTAATGTTCCTATAAAATGCCATTGAATATCTAATGGTAACTAATTAATTATTTAAAAATGAATACTTAAACATCCCTTGTATTTTTAATTTTTTCTTTTAAAAAAAAAAAAAATTTAAATGTAAGTTACCATTTTACTTTTTTCAATTAATTCTTGCACCTAAGTAATCAAACGACACAATAGACATTAATTAATCATTTTGTTTTTAATCAAATAAATAAATAAATTGATAAGTAATACTCACATAATTTTCACCAAAATGTCTCTGTCCAAACTCATAAGCAAAGCGGATATCTGAAGCTGGTTTGTACTTACTAACGGCAACTAACCTAACCTACCATAAAAAAAAAAAAAATTTTTTCAATTAATAGATACCGTTCACAAAAAAATTAATCCCTTGTGAAATTTAAAATTTAACCTCTTTTTGTCTTTGAGTAATTGCCTCAATACATTGTCTAACGTATAATAAATTCTTTTCGATCTCTTCTTTTCTTATTACAACATTATTCTCGATAGAAACTTTCTCCTCAGTTGAGGCCATTCTTTTATTATTTAAGTTATATAATGAATTTATTATATTACTTTTATTTGATCTGATTGATATATTTTTAAGAATAAACATTGAAAGGGGATTTTTTGCTTATCATAGATTTTTACCATCTATATTTGGTAACGATACCTCGTGCAAATTGAAAATTTTCTGCTCCTCAAATTAGGGAGGGATGGTCCCTTAATTAACCTGATTAACCAATTTCGGTTAATTTGAATTGACCAATCAAATCAAAGAAAATTTTAGATCGTTAAATGTCGAATTTGAGCTTGCAGAGAGAAATTTTCTACTTATGGATTTATTCACAGTAATGATCGCGTTAAAAGTTGGTTTATATTTTATGGAAATCTACAGAATTCAAGAAAATAAAGTTATGTAATAAAGGCAAGAAATTTGTAAAGATAAATAATGAAGGAGACGGTGAACATGACAATGACGATTTATTGAATTTTTAATGATCAGATGATTCAGGCGATGGTCCAAGCATTCTTACATAGTATTTCCAGGTTTAAATCAAATATAATAGATTTGACGCAATAACATAGCTATTTGTAATAGATATAGTAATATAATAAAGTACCGTTTAAAGTTTTTTATATAAAAACTAATATTACGGTTAATTGACATCTTAATTAACCGGTAATTTCACATCCCTGTAATAGTTGAATATTAGTTCAAAATATGCGCATTTTATATCTAACCTTCCACCAAATTTTGAGCTTTTTATTTTTCATCGTGACAAATTTTTTGATCTAAAATATTCAAAGTTGCATGCGGCATACCTTTGCTGTTCTTATTTAATTAAAATATATGAGACGCATCCATTAGAAAGTCCGAAGAAAATTAAATAGCATTAGTGTAACAGTAAAATATGAGTTTTTTAATTTGAATTTTAACGTGATATTCCTAGAAAAATAATAACCAATCATTTATTGTATATTTAATGTTGTTAAACTTATGCAATAAGTAAAATTACAAACAAATAATTTTTTATAAATTAATAATTAATTAATTACGTTTACAAAAATTCTTTGCAGATTTACGGAGTTTATTACTATAACAGGACCTTTTGGTTACATCCACATCCTTTAGAATGCCTTCTAAACTTCACGCTATAATTATTATTATGCCTGCAAAATACCATGTAGTGTATAAATTATCATTAGAGAGCCTTTCTCGCTCAAATGTTCCACCAATACCAAACGCCAGTCCAAAGATTGCGAAACAATCGTTGGGGCATTTGTAACAGTAATGCTCGATGGTTGGAATATGACCACATTCGTCTTATACACATCAGTGTAGCCACTCCAAGCGATTCAGCGAACTTTTGCCACTTATACCATGCAATCACACTTCCAATAGCATTGGTAGTTGTGAGAAAGAGTGCACAGAAAGACTGGATATCTGTACCAATCCCTATTTCATTCTGTAAAATTAACCATCGCCACAAAAAGTCGCCACCGACGCAACAATCATGATTCAGTGCATTATTAAAAATACAATAAATTTAATGTTATGCTGCATTGAAGGAACTGTCATAACTTTCCATGCGTAAGTTCTGATAACTTCCTTCGCGAGATCTCCATCTTGTTCCATTAAATGAGCACTTCCATATTCGAACTTCGAGACCTGGTTAACTGAGACCATTTTCCAGCTATGATACCACCTTGAAAGTGTTCAGGATTTTCCAATCGACATAATTGACGAAGCACGCTTTCGCTTGTGTGCACGCAAGCACAGGCTGTGGCTCCTAAGATCATGCCAGAGAATGGTATGTTTTTGAAAGCAATGTCAACTGCATTACAAGTTCACCAGAATGAAAGCTGATATATATAGGACAAAAATCCTTGGGATGGACATTTTGATAATTTAAAAAAACTAGATTTTAATGTGAAACTTCATACGCATGGAACAAGTATCACGCTATATTACAGTTAAATCAAAATTTGTTATTTTTGGTTACTCTTTACTACCGTGACACTATTGTAACGTTCGATACGCAAAATACAAGTCATACGATTTCTTTCAAAATATTTTATTGTCCGTATAGTTTTCAATAGATATTGTAACCTGTTGAATGTGAAAATAGTTATTTTATGAATGAATGATAATTTTAATTATATAGATTATAATGTTAAACGAGTGAAGAATTTCATGATATTGTTTAGTTCGAATGAAGATTTACGAAACATAATAAAATAAACAATATACGATAAAAATAAAATATATATAATATCAGTCTCGCGAACTTATAAATGATTTGCACACATGTCGTAATCACATTGTTGACATCTTAGATTCATACCACCCCTATGTTCCCATCGGTCCTCGTTCCATATCCATGACCTTATGTAACGTAAAGGATGATGTTTTGGGTAGTAATCTTCAGGTTTACAATCAGCATCAGGTTTGCAATGGCTAAGGCAGATGTAAAATTGCAAATCGTGCAAAGATATGTAGACGCCTATGCAAAATAGAATATTCAGGTTTTTGGTTAAGCATGAAAGGGAAAAATCATCTTACAATTGATTGACTGTATTTCCCCGCAGACGTCACACCACCAGTTCCTTAAATTTGTCTCTTTCAAAACATTTTGGCAGTAAAATTTTATATAAAGTTTTAAAATCTAAATTATAAAGTAAATTTATATTTTAATTAAAAATTTTACCAATAAATTTAATAATTATTTAACCCAATCAAGTATAAAATGCAATTAAAATAGATAAAAAAAATTTTTTTATTTCTTATAAAAAATGAATTCTATAGCTTTATAGTTATAAGAAATAAGAATTTATTTTTATTTTACTTGTTTAAAAATAAATAACTTAGTTTTACATATATAAAAGTATTTATATTTATACAATTTATCAATTGAAATTAATAAATAATTAAAAAATAAGGTAATATATATAATTTTGGTTAATTAATTATCTTAGTATAATATTATATATGTATAATATCTTTACTATTAAAATGATTATTATCATTAATAATTATTAGTAAAAATCCTGAATATATTATAAATATATTAGAAATATTAATACTTTTAGATAATTAGTTTCAATTTAAATAAAGTTTTATTTATAAAAAAAAAATATTATAATATTATTTTCTATTATTTTAATAAATTTTTATAAATACAAAAAATTTAATAATTAAAATCATTATATTTAACTAACATTATAAATAATTAATATATAAAACTATCTTTAAACTAAATTATCTAAATAATAAACATATTTCTTTATAAGTACTATTATCTCTTTTATAATATAATTTTTATTAAACTAGCAAAAGTGTTCAGTTTATAATAGAGTTCTAAATAAGTCGAATTAACTCACGAGTCAGATAAGCCAAGTTAAGTTTAAATCAAGTTGAATTTATATTTTTTTGACTCGATGATTTACAAGTCAAATCAAATTCAAGTTGAGTTAAATATTTAACTCAACTCGATTTAAACTCGATTCAAATTCAACTCAACTCAAGTTAACTTAAAATAGTATTATTAATAAATTAACATTTTAAAACTATAAAAATTATACATTATAATAATTAAAATAGTTAAAAATTCAAATTTATTTTATTAATTTAGATATTAATTTTAAATTTCATTATAAAATAATTTTCTTAAATAATAAACTATTGAAAATCTATTTTTTAGAATATTTAAATTAAAATGTTCTAAAAGAGCAGATCTT